ACAGCAAAGTCCACCATCTGCAAGAACAAGAGCCCCCGCCTCCAACATCCACTCTCCTAAAAACAAATTGATAGGAATAAGTTGAAAAAGAGTTATGAAGGCCGCAACACGAGAAATAGGCAAAATTGAAAAGTAAGTACCCCCATCCTTCACTGCAGTAACAGTCAATCCAGCACTTGTGCTTCCTAGTCCTGTTGTGATTACAGCTCTGTTGCTAAGCTTTGCAGCAAACTTCAAAAACTGAGATTTTCCAGTTCCTGTCAGGTATTAGACGTAAACGGAGAACTCATATGAAAATACAGTCACGCATAGAGCTCAATGAGCTAGTAACAACAAGAAAACACACAGGACATTTTTATTGTTTTGTTAATATCACGTAAGGTACTCGAGTTCCATATCAATTTAGTTCAGCGAAGAAAAACCCGGAACTCAATAAGAAAAGTACTACTCAGTGGTTGACACCGACCCGGATCACCGATAAGAAGCAAGTGAGACTCTCCCCGGACTTTTGTACCAGAAGCATCAACATGTTGCACACCTCCAATTAGTGTTAAGGCAACTGCATAACACATGCACGAGCATGAACATTCAATGAGAAGAGATGTTTGACACAAAAGTGTAATCATTATTGACACACCGTACCTGCAAGTTTAACAGTGAAGAGACCAACAACTTGAGGGCAGATACCTCGTAAGATAGCATTTCTGCCTGACTTGATCAAAACCGAAAACATTTAACATTTATTTTTTAATAGAAATCTTCAATATATTATAACATTAGAGACAGAAAAGTTACTAATAGTGAGTTACTAACCTTTCAAAGGGGTATCTTTTAAGTGGCTCCAAAAGTTCTTGAACTTCTCAATCAATTCATCAGAGATATCGATTTCTGATTTGAGTTCATTAGTTCTTCTAGAGAACAGCATGATAACAGGAGAAAAGTGAGTTTATCAACAGAAACTATAATCATCAAAGACCCAACAATAACTCCGGAAAAAATCTTAAGTGGAACTAATAGCTACTTGTTTAGTTTAGCCTAACCATCTTTAAAGTCAACTTTTAACCTGAGGTTGGAAAAAAATTTCATAGAGATGGCTTTAACTAAATTTCCAAGCCATTTACCTGACATGATTTGCAATAACCATAGGTTCAAGGTCACAGCGAACATCTTTTAAGTCATGAGACCATTTTGAAGTTAAGATTCCAGAGACAACAACATCATCTGCATAAAAAAGAATATACAGCAAAAATGTTACTTAAACCCAACATCAGGAGCAGTTAGGCTGATAGCTTAAAGAATGATTACACAGAGAATGTTGGAACTATAGCGATAACATTGATGCATTTATTGATCTTTAATGCATAGAACAGAAACAATAAAAAAAAGTTTGAATACCTCCAGCTTTAACATTGTCAACGAGGTCATCTTTCAGAACGACTAGAATAGACCTTGGGATAACACCAACACCTAAAACCTGAGTATTCTCTTGGATTTTGATTTCTTGATAGTCATGGCGTGTGACAGTATCATCCACAGGATCAAAGTTTGTTCCGTCACAAGACTTGGACCGCTGTCAGTAAAGTTAAAGATTTCAAAAGTAGTGCAAGATCAGCTATTTCAAGAAAAGGTAACATCTTAAGGAGCATTAGCTAGTCTGAATGAGTTGTGACCAACCTGGGAAGGACAAAACGGCGGTTTCACAATTGTTTTTATTGATTCCAATTCAGGGAAAAGAGGAAACCTATACAAGAAACCAACTCGACGTATAAGACAGAATGCAAAATCAGTTTCAAGTACAAGAGAGAAAACATACATGTGTTTGCATTTTCGGCATCTATACATCCTTTCTCCCTCATACATCTTGACAGCTCCAGACCTGATCACTGTACCTTTTAACATCAGGAGAATCCCACGGTGCTTCACTCTAATCCGACCAATACTTGGGAAAGTGTCTGCGACAAAACCCAATTTCAAGCAAAGAGAAGCAAGAATCTGTATACAAAAATTCTAGAGGCACACACCAGGGCTTCGTTCGAGAGGGGAGCCACTAGTGTTTATACGAACATGTATAAATCTCTTCTCAATCCCAATCTTGTTATCGAATTTCTTCATATGCTCCAACGCAATTTTCTACAACCCAAAGCCGCCTAAAATCTAATTATAGAGTTAGCTAAAAATGAATCGTCATTAGGTTGAATACATACGTGAGCTAGAATGGCGGAATCGTCAAAGAGCCGGAGATAATGTTCGGGATTGGAATAAACAAGACGCGCCAGGTGCGGATTCTCATCAACGAGTTCTGCGAATCTGAATAGTTTGTGTATAAGTATATCATAGTTTGAAAGAGGAATCATGGAAAGAGACAGTAGAGAGAGACATTAAAGCCTTACTCGAGGAAGAGAGGGTAATGAAGTTTGGGATCGGAAGAGAGAGCGATGTTGCGGAGCAGATCAGAATAGTGGCTCACCAGAAAATCCGTCATAGACTCTATGTGCTCCGCCGTTTGTGTCGGCGTTTCCATCATCGTCGCGCCGATGAAAGAAAAAGGTTAAGGGTTTAGCGCGGGAAATCAACAGAAGAGTCAGCAGTCTGCGGATGGGACAAGTAAAACTCTGATATACTCCTGCCCCCAAAAAAAAGAGGTGAAATATTTCTGCCCGAAACTGATCAGATTTATAATTAAATATATATTTATTTAAATAAGATTTATAATTAAATATATATTTATTTAAATAAGTAAAATTATTACAAGATCACAAGTCCAACAGAAACCTACATAATTACAACTCAACAAGATCCATTTCGCGGACTATCCAAACCCGATCCATAAAATTCAGATCTATTCTTCGAAACCTTTGTAAGAATTGGAGTAATTGTAAACCTTAGTGTAACTTTGCAACGTAATAAAACTTAAACTAGTAAATTAAAGGTATTCTAAATTGAATTAAGTCGCACTTTTAGATTGCAGTTTTTTATCAAGTTATTGTTTAGCCACAGTTGTTGTTATTGATATATTCATTGAAGTTCAAATAAAAAAAAAATATTAGTTTATAAATATAACTAGAGAAAGTATATTATGTTTATATCTATAACTAGAGAAATAGCAGAGCATATTGTGAAGACTAATTTACATAAAAATTTAGTAAAACTAGATAAAACTTCTATGTCATAAACACCCAACTAATCTTCAAGGGACCAGGCACGAGCAGTCGAGTGTATGGCATAGCAGAAATCCCAAGCTGCAAAATTCCAGAAACAACGATCGCATTTCCACCGTAATCTTGATCCATCTAGGGAGACTACAAAAATTGGAGGGTCTAGGTTGGAGCACCAGCAATAATGTGGCACATTAGGATATATCCTTTCGGCCACAAATATAAACATGGGAGGTTTTTTGTAATCCCAATTGCCTGAGATATCCCAACTAGTGATGATTTGAAACATCTCGTCAACATGTTGACGAGTAAAACCAGGGTAGTTGTGAAAAATTCCTCTACCATCAACGCTAAAGGCTAAGTTCAGCATAGCATCTACAAATTGTGCCAACACGCACCTTCATCAAGTAAATGGAGGAAGAAGAACTCGTACATACCTCTCAGGTAGATGGCCTCGGGATTACCCAAACGGTAGCATTTAAGCTTGAAAGATCGAACAACATTGACCTCGTTTGCCCAGTCATTGAAGTAAATGAGATTGGCCGATCTATAAAAGTGATCATCTCTTCCAACTTCATTGAACCCGGGAAAAGCAATCCTTGCAGAACCAAAGTTCTGGATACCGGTCTTTACTACTTTAGAGAGAATCTTATGAAGCATTGAAGGAGGGAGAGAAGTCAAGTTCACGTTCTTCATGTCTAACTCTGATAAAAGAAAACGATTAATGGTGAGAGAAATCACAAGTTTATAGAAGTGATAACCCTTAAAATTTAATGAACCACTCACCCTAAACAAAAGAAGCGTGTCCATTTAAGTGTGATTTTATGGACTCCTCGAGAAGACACGACTTCTCTCAGACACGACTTCTCTCACACGCCTTCTGAATATCTGCACTCGCATCTCTTGGAAGTGTAACTTTGTATAAGATATATAACTATATAAAGTAAGTGAAACTAAGATATATAATTATATAAGTAAGTGAAAGTAAGTGAGTTAGATTGTTATGAAACTAAGAAAAAATTCAAAATTTAGATTGCATAATTTTTTTAAACTATGTAAAACGTAGGTATAGGATATATTAAATGAAAATGGTAATATTAAGGTTTAAGAAAAACCTGTAATTATGGAGTTGGGTGATTTGATGGACTACTCGAAAGAACACGACTTCTCTCATGAAAATGTCTAATTTCGAAGTCTCTTATAACCATTACCCTTGCATTTAAACGCCACAACACTACACCTTCATTAAGTAGTAGATCATCATAACCATTGCATTTAAACTCCACTTCGAACCCCGAGAAAGCATAACTACTCCAACTTATCTCACATGCTTTCTGACTACAACAATCGCCTCCCCTGAAATTTAAGATATATAAATATGTAAACGTAAGTGAAACTCAGGGAGATCACGGGCTAGATTTATGAAACTAAGAAAACGTAACAATTTAGATTGTATGAAGATTTGAAACTATACAAAACTTAACGAAATTTTTGATATTATATCATTTTATTTTTCAAAAGATGGTCAGTTTCCAAAATGGATAATAATTAGTGAATATATTTAGAGTTCATATATTTAATGATAGCAACTAGCAGTGTAGGAGATAATAGATGAAAAGGATAATATTAATTTTGAGAAAAAACCTCGTCGAAAGAACACGACTTCTCTTGTGAAAGAATCTCTTTTATACGCCACATCTCTTGCATTTATAACACTCACTGTTACTCCATCTCCTCTCTCATCTCTGCGAATACTCCATCTCTTCTCTCATCTCTGCGAATACTCCATCTCTTCTCTCATCTCTGCGAATACTTCATTTCTTCTGTCATCTATCAACAAAGAAGATGGTAGAGTACAATAAGCTTTCTGAGGTTACTTGTAACCCCAAGATCAGGTCTTGGCGTTTCATAGTGCAACTACACAGGATCTACCCTTACACTATTACCAACCATCGGCCTTACTATAAGTATATCCTCGCAGATGAAGATGTAAGTGTTATATCATCATCTCTCAAGTGTGTAATAAACATGTAACCGTGAGAAATAAAAACTTGATCCTTGTAACATGTAATATACATGATCTTTGTACTTTATTTATGTAGGATACAAGATGGAGATGACCACTGATGGGGATTATCTAAATTTTAGTGGCCTTGAGAAGGAAGAGGGAATATTGGTGGAATTTTTTGTGGTAGAAGTTGAACGGACCTACCCATGTTTCCAGCAAACTAGCTCTCCGTTCAGACTAAATGCTTCGCACTGTACGCAAGTCCGCATCATCGAACCTCTGAACAGTCGTCTTTTCTTGGACTTCAAAAGCATCCGTGAAATCCCTCGCAGGCGCTAGCGTGACCTCAGATATCCCATAGGTATGTTGGTAATCTCAACAGTCGCATATCTTGGTTTCAGAACTTTGTATTACTCTGTAGATGTAAGTGAAACTAAGTGAAACGAACTGATTTAGTTGAGTAACACTTATATGGTAGATACAATGGGAGTGGTCTTCAACACGGAAGCTTATCTCGATGCCCCTTCAGGACCAAGGATGGAGTTTTACATAAGGGACAACATGTGAGTATAAAGTAACATATGATCCAAGCAAAATTTATATATATATATATATATTGTAACTGATCCACTTTTTCTTAATTCTGAATAGTGACCATCAGATAAAATGTATGGTGACCGGCGATCAGGCCTATGCCTTCCGGGATGGTCTTGATTACATGAGTGGTGGGGGTCGTAGACATGTTATTGTGGCCCCTAAGATGTGGAGAGTCTGAAAATTTATGCGTAAGTGTTGTTTCTGTGACTAAATTTAAATGTGATAGTTGAGTAGAACTTCTACTAAAATCACTTATACAGGTTATTTTGGTTCTCCTGAAATATGGCTTGAGACCGAAGGTGGATTTGCGGACTTCAGGTTCAATCCGCAGTTGCCCGAGGTTGAGGAATTCAGGCAGTCTCTACTAAATAGCGACCCTTATGTTTAGAAATATGGGGTTGAGGTCTCGTGTAAATGTTTAATGTCGAATTCAACTTTGTTTAAATGTCGATAAAACTATGTATTAATGTTGGTGAAACTATCTCTATTGTTCTATTTTCGATCTCTCTATTTTCCAACTTTATAGTTTCACTTAATCAATTGTTCAACTTTCTAAACTTAAGACAAAGTTGAATTTCGTTGGTGTTACATTGTTTTCTAACTTAAAAAAAATCATAACAATAACAGAATAGTTTTCCAAGAATTACTTATTGTACATCATAATTCCTAGAACTAAAACGACTGTAAGAAGAACACAACCTCCAGATATTTTGGAACTCGTCATCAGACTTTCACTCCTTATTGTTGCGTTGAGAAGTTTAACTTCTTCTTCGAGCATTCGAACTTGGCAATCCAACTGTTGTATCTCATCGGTGAAAGCTTCATCAACCCATTTGAAAACGTGATTATCATTCTCAAGCTACAACATGGATATTTTTCAAAACGAGTAAGCGTAATCCGTGAGCGTAATTCGTAAGCTTTCGAGAGTAAGTAAAAGGTAAACGGATAACACCCTTAGTGAAGCCGCATAGAGACACCGATAATACCGGCGAAACGGGTTTGGTTTGTTTTTCGTGATGAGCTCGGTGATTCCCACCCCGCACCAGCACTTAATAGGTATTCCCAGAGTTTGTACTTGTGTCCGACCACCGGACGTGGAAGATGAAGCGGTGGACATCTCGATTTCTCTGTGAGTTCGAGGAGAGGAATGAGAGAGAGAGAGAGAGAGAGAGAGAGAGAGAGAGAGAGAGAGAGAGAGAGAGAATGATTTGAGAGAGAGAAAATGGAAGATAACAAATGGAGGAAAACCCAAAAAAATGTCTTTAATACTTCGATTAAATGATCTTGTGGTTTTAGCAAATTGGGAAGAGGGAAATTCGAAATTCGAAAAGCTGGACGGGAAAGTTTATCCCAGCGATTTTTGTATTAAGTTTCACCAAGTTTTCACTTTTACGAAAAACATCAAAGTTGCACTTTTAATTATTTCCATTTATCTTGGTTATACTCTACTTGAATCACTGATTTTTTGGTTACACCAATTAAATTATGTTTCCTAGATTCATTTCTCAGACGATCATATACACATAAACTTGATTTTGTGCCATACGAAGTTTTCAAATCTAACAAGGTCAGTTTTTGCCAAAACGCTACGATAACACAGTGTTTTTTCTATATAACCAAGCAATTAGATGTAATTTTAATATTTCTGATCAAATCATAATTAATGTAACATTAATAATAAATAAACATATCATTACTTCAGTGAGTTATTAAATTAAGAAGTTGAGAGTTTACAATCATATTACTCAGTTTTCCCATTGTAGTTATACCAGTAACGAAAACAACAAGTTTCACTTAGTTATACAATACACAAATACAAATTATTACCTATATGACCAAACAATAAGATGGAATTTTAATAATTAAGATTAACCATAATTAACATAACATTAACAATAAATAACCATCTTAGTACTTCAGTGATTTATTACTCAGTTTTTCCATTGTAGTTATACGAGTAAAGAAACCAAACTTCACTTAGTTATACAACACACAAATACAAATTGATTCCCTCACAAAGTTCCCATAAGATAAAAACACCAAAACAAAACTTCATCCGAAAGGCTTACAACCTACTCTTCTTCTGTTTCTTGTGGGGATGTTCATCGTGTTCCAAACCAGTGCCCACTTTCTCTTCTTCTCCATATCCACTCCCACGCTCACAATAGTTCCTACTACAAGAGCTCTCTACGACTCTTGATAGTTGCTCAGTTATTTGAACTATTTTCAATTCTTCGATGTCCTCCACATGCAAAATACTTCTTCTTTGCTCTCTATCCACTGATGTTAGACAAACAAACACATCTTCATCATCCAAAATATATGATTGCCTCTTAGGCTCCACTACCAATGGGATGTAACCCAAACTGAGCCTCTTCATAAATGGATCTATTCTCATCTTCCTGCATATCATCTCCTTCAACATCGAATAAGTGATCTCCTCCAACAATGATGTCTTAAAGGATATAGCATACAAACGAGCATCGGTTATAATCCATTCATAATCATCTCCATTCTTCGAATAATGTCCATCGTAATAAAAGTGTATGTTCGTCGAAAAATGACTCATTGTCTGCAATATAAAAAAAAATTAAACCCCTAAAGTTATACTTGGTTATACAATTATACAATCAAAGTTATACTTCGTTACACCATGTTAAACAGTTGTGTCAGTAGTCAATTAGTAACCAGCCAACGTCTAATCTTCTTTGATTGAATCGTCATTTCATTCTTGACATTCAATCATACAGTTGTTGATTATTTGTTGATTATCCAATTGAGTAATAAACAGACCATCCACACTTTCATTCCTTTCTGATCTTTGATTAGTGAATAAGAAATTCCAGTTACAATGACTCTAGTCTTCTCAATTCAAAATCTTTGATTCCCGACATTCAATTATACGGTTGTTGATTATCGAATTCCTTAATAAGTAGACCATTCAAACTTTCCGATCTTCCTTGATTAGTTCATACACAAATACGAAATCTTCTATCTAATCAAAATCCCTGTGACAATTTGAGATACATACCCTGTTACACGGAATCAAAAGCTCAATGATTGCATCCAAGCGACGAGATCGCAATAAGATGATGCAAGGAAGAACAATGGAATGTTCTGAGAAGACTGGACTCGACTAATACTCGAGAAGAAGAACTCCTCAACGACGGCTCGATGAATATCGATTATTTTAGAATAATTTGGAGAGAGATATTCGAGAATTATTCGTATTCATTAAAGAATTCACCACTCTTGAGAGTATCAGAATAAATAAGAGTACTCCAGATTTTGTGAGAGTATGTTAGATCACTTTTTGTGAGAGTATCAGAATAAATAAGAGTACTCCAAGTTTTCACTCTAACATAATACCAGATGTTTGCCGGCAATTTTGTGCGTGGTTTCATGTAGATCTTTTGTAAATGATTTTGAGTGAATTAAAAAAAACATAAAAATTCTAATAATTTCTTATTTATAAATCTAATTATTTTATATAAGAATATATAAAACTTTAAATTTATTTTTATAAAAACTGTTAAAATATTTTCTTTAATTAGATATAAATAACTGATAAAAATAAAGAAATTGATAAAAACGTAGATATTCTCTCTCTGCAATTAGTTACCATAGATGATTATTTGTAATATCTCTTGTGTTATTTGCTAATCCTCTATATATCAATTGAGAAGCATTACAACATGTTTTGGTAGTCACATGTCATCAAGAGAATGATCTCAAATTTTACTAGAGAAAAAATATTGGTCTATATAAACATATATTATATTTTTATTAAACTAAACATAAAACTATTATTAATACTATTCATTATTTCCTTAAATATAATTTACGGAATTACCTAATATGGTTATAATATATATATATATATATATATATATATATATATATATATATATATATATATATGATAATTAATTATTCAAATATGAAGATTTGATAAAAAATTTATAGTCTCTACTATTTTTGTTAAACTTAAATTTTAAAAATAATTAAACAATAACATTAACTATATAACAAAAAAAAATTGATTTTATTGATATATGTTATATTTTGAATTTTTTTAAATGACTATAAATTAATAAACATTTAAAAATGTCATATATAATATTTTTGATTAGTTTTCCCTATATATTAATCCTGGTGCATTACAACATTTTTTGGTATCTACGTGTCACAATAAGAATGATTTTCATAACTCTTTGAGAAATATGTTGGTCCAACTAAACATATCTTAGATTTTTATTATACTAACTATCATATTTAATTAGTAGTGTACAAAAAATTATTCATATTCTTTCCTTATATAAAAGCTACGGAATTACCTAATATGATTAACATATATATCACAATTAATTTTTATGAATAATAAATATTTGATAACAATTTTTTCTCTTTTTTTTTTAATTTTATACTATTAAAATAAATTAAAAATATCATATAATAATAAAATTAGATTTTTTCTTATATGTTATACTTTGAATTTTTTTAAACGATAATAAATTACTATAAATGGTAAAAATCTCACATTGAAAATTTTGTGATCAATGATAACGCTTTTCAATTCAGCCAATCGTTTTTTAATGGATCTTAAACAGTTTATAATGATTAATTAAATGGATCGCACATATTAAAGTGTGTTTTGTTTAAAAATTATTGCATACCCAAAATCAATATGGTTGGGCAAAAAAAATATGAATCCAAATATCTGAATTAAATCTAATCCAAAAAGTAGTACAAATTTTTAAATAAAATGGTTAGATATCCAAACGGATACGCAATTTGGGTATCCGAGTGTACTCGAACTAGATTTATATACTGAAGTATATTAATTATTTTTAAATCTAACATCTAAAAATATACAAAATACATGAGAATTTTTAAAATTTTCCCAAATACTTAGAAATATATAAAATAATTAAATGTACATTTTTAAAAATAGCTAAACGATACTCCAAATACCAAAAATATTTAAAATATTTATTGTTTTTTTGTCCAAATATTTAAGATAAAATCAATTTTATGTTAAGTTTAAGTCTTTTAGCATTATATTTTCAAATTTATATGTTATATATTATTTTTAATTTTATATTTTGAAAAATTTAATGTATATATAAATTTTAATCTTTTTTATAAAAATAAAAATAAAATGGGTTATCCGAACCTGCATAAATTCGAACCAAACCGCAAAGACATAAACCAAACAGAATTTAACCGAACCAAATGGTATCCAAATTCTTATTCCTAATCAAATTAAAAAAGGTTACTGATAACAAAATATGTATTTAAATACAACATATTTTTTAAAAACTCACTCCGCGCATGGCGCGGGATATCACTAGTTTGTATTAATTAGTTCTAATGTAACTTTTTATT